CCCCTCATCCACTGACCGGCCCGGTGGCTCTCACCCCAATCCCACAGTCACCCCCTCCATCCACCTACCCGACCGGCTGGCTCTCACCCAATCCCCACAGTCACCCCCTAATCCACTTGACGACCGGCTGGCTCTCACCCAAATCCCACAGTCTCCCCCTCATCAACCTGGTCGCCCGGCTGGCCCTCACCCCAATCCCCACACTCACCCCCTCACCCCATCCCCACAGTCACCCCCTCACCCACCTGACCGACCGGCTGGCTCTCACCCAATCCGACACTCTCCTCATCCACCTGACCGACCAGCTGGCCCTCACCCGTCGCCACAGTCGCCCCCTCACCCACCTGACCGACAGGCTGACCCTCACCCGTTGCCACACTCACCCCCTCAGCGACCGGTTGGGCCTCACCCATCGCCACAGTCACCCCCTCACCCGTCGCCACAGTCACCCCCTCATCCACCTGACCGACCGGCTCGGCCTCACCCCCTCCCACACTCGCCCCCACATCCAGCGGAGCGGACGAGGGGTTCCTCTCCGGGCAACCCCTCGCCAGGTGTCCGTCTCCACCGCAACGGAAACACCTCCCATCGCCCGATGTGGCGAACATGGCGTAGTCAAACCCCTCGATCCTCACCTTAATCACCAGGTCGAGGGCCTGGGGTTTGGTGAGGACCATGTGGAGTTGCCTCCTATGAGACACCACGTGCCTCATTAAAGGCGACTTGCAACCCGAGGACAGATTTTTAAGCGGGGACACCACCTTCCCATGTTTTACCAGCTCCTCCAGCAGCACTCCGTCAGGGACGAACGGCGGAACGTTCGCTACCGTCACCGCGAGCGGAAAAACGGGCACGTGTGCCCCGCGGATCACCACGCCGCTCGCCACCACCTCGCGCGCCTTCTCCACACTATCTACAAAAATGACCACCGCGCGTTTCATCCACGCGGCGGACGGACTTCACACTCCCGTGACCCACCAACCCCCCCACGGCCAGACCGCAGTCCTCCACGGAGCACGCGAAGCCCTGCGCGAGCTTCACGCCGTGAGGTCCGACATGCCGACCGGCTACAAACACAGACAAAATTACATAAAAAGAAAGAAAAGTTACACGTACACACCAACACGCATTCACCCCAGAAACCACACTGAAAAATACACGAAATAACAGATAGAAAGCACAATCCAAACAATTCACCTCACGCTCCGCACACTCAGCACTCCTTCCGCTCAGAGAGAGAGAGAGAGAGAGAGAGAGAGATTTTCTTGATAAAAGACTTCAGTCATCATCTGATTATCAACATTCATGTTGATTCATTTTCTGTTCATCGACTAATTGATTCAATGTTTCAACACTAAATATCCTGAATGTTTGTTCTAAACTCACTGCAGTCCACTTTAGTTCATTAACTCTCATCTGTATCATACTCCAGATTTTGGGCTCAAACTAATTATTCTTGTCTTTGCAGATGATGTGATAACTATTTCTAATGAATCCATGAATTGTTCACACGGTAAAATGTCAGAGAGGCTGATGAAACCTTGGAAGTGCTTCTTCAGTGTGAACAACACTGAGCAGTATTTCATTCATCACCATTTCAAACAGACAAGAGGAAGAAGTCGTCTCAGTGAGGAACCTCAACTAGAACATGTTGGACGTCATCTGATAAAACCTGGAATGAAATACTGAAGCATCGACTCCCTGAGCTCAAGTAAAGCTCATCTAATCTAAGCTGGAGTTCTAATCAGGATGAGAGGAAATCTTCTTCATCCTGAACAACACGGAAAAGTATTCATTGTGTTTATATACTTATATTTAGGAACTGGAAGCAGAAAATGTTTCAGTCAAGAAAAGATCTCAGACTGTTTAATTTACTGTGTGTGTGTGTGTTTATGTACTAATAACATAAAGGATGCAAATATAAACAACAAGTGTGAAACATAAACAAACCTCCAGTTTGGTTGAAGCGTCGTTTTAATATTTCAATGTAGGCTTTCAATTCCTGCTGGGCGACCAAAGCGTTCTGAGTCAGCGCTAACCAGTCCCAAGGCAGATCCTTTCTGACTCTGCTCATCCAGTCCTGTCTGGGTTCTACTCTCCAGGTGTCACTGTCATAGTGAACAACCTCAACTTCATCCAGCAGCCCAACAACCACAAACTCTGGGAAGTTTGGGACTCCAGAGGATCCAGTGAGGAAAAACTTCAGCAAGTGAGTCACTGGAACCAAAAAGGAATCATTATTAGTTCTGATGTCACACTTTAATTAATCAATAATTTAGTTATTTTCCTGCAAACTGAATTAAAAATGAAATACAGAACATCAAAGACACCCTGATAACATCTGCTGTGTTATAAATCAATACAGAATTTTTTTTTATATTCAAATAAAAATTCATTCATTTAGGTTTTTTTTAGATTTAAATTGTTTGAGTAGAAGGATTCTTTTTTTTAACAAACCATTTAAAAACAAACTAAAGTGACCAGTTTCTTGTGTATCTCTATATTTAAGTTTAACTTAAAAATAAAGAAACTGTCTTCATTTTTACCTCCATGGCTGGCAGAGCCGTACATCGGGAGATTAAATACAGACTCCTGCATTAATCCCATAAGGAGGTTTTGTCGCAGAGGCCAAATGCGTCGTTTTAGGTCAGACAACAGCACGAATCTAGCTGGATCAGAGCGAGCGTCAAAAGAGGCCTTAGCTACCATGGACCATAGCAGGATTCATATCACTCCTGCAGGAGTATTGACTGGACTTTTAACCCCCAAGCTGCTTTCCACCATTGCAGCGTTTGGGAGCGGCTCATTAGAATGGTCAGGAAAATAATGTTTTCTGTGCTTCAAAAATAATGACCTCCGCATAACTAAGGTTTCTGATGACGTCAATGACTTGGAAGCTCTCACTCAGTGCCTCTAGTTCAGTACCTGTCAGACCGGTTCTGGAAACGATTGACAAGGAAGTACTTGCCGCTACTGCAGGTACGACAAAGGTGGACAAAGCCGCAAAGAAGTTTGGTATCATAGGACATTGTCATTGTCATGGATCCAACTGCTCCTCGTGAGTTATGGATCATGGGAAGAAATAACAAGACAGGACAGTTGGAGCGGCCTATATGAAAGATTGTTCTGCTTCAAGAAGCCGTGTAAAGGTCAGGACCAAAGCTTGGGTCACGTGTTGGTAACACCTGACGAAGAAAGAGGGACATTTTATTTTTAATTTGTTTATTTTTTAATTAATGTAATACTAATGCATACTTTTCCCAATTAGGGGCCGGTGTGCAGGAGCCATTCGTGATATTTGTGTACAACATGGTACTGGGAGCCAATCTCAGGTTGGCCACAGGTGGCAGTGTGTATTATTGGGACAGGGAGTCTACATAAGGGGCACAGGAGCAATTGATACAGGTAATGATGCTACCAAAGACCCACAGCGAGATCAGGAACCAAATGTATATGCAGTTGTGTTTTATAAAGTATAAAACTAATAAACGGGAACTTCACCCAAAGAAAACGAAGGACCAGGAATCTTTGTGTGAGCGAGTGAGGAACAGGATCTTCTCCTGCACCCTGCAGAGTGGCTCACGAAAATCTGTCACTACACTATTTTAGTTTCTATCGGTATCAGCTGGATGAATAGAATCCAAGAAGATTAGAATATTATTTAAAATTATCAGCACAGTAAAATGTCTGAATTCATATTCATGAGTTTTTATTTCAGCACTGGTCACTAAGATGTTTTGCAAATCTGTCTGAGAATAAATATATTTCCTGTTAATACATCAAATACTGCAGAGAGATGCTGGATGTTTGAGGCTGATTCTGATTAATATAGTCTGAATATTAAATATTTTAGCTGATTTTTTATTTTTAATATAAACACATGACCTAAACTCACTTTAATTCAGATTGATAAATTGTTGTTTTTAGTGACTGAGATACAAACAAAGATTAAAAATGAACTTTTGCTCTTCCGGTTTATTAATGAGCTCAGACTGAGTTTGACATTTCTTCACTTGTCTTTCTTCTCACTCATCAGACAACATGTAAACACCATTTAATGTCCCGAAGACAGAGACAGCAGAGTGAGACAAACACGCTTCTGTCCTTCACACAAACTCACGAGAGGAAACACGCGCGCACTTTGACAACATGTGTTACTTTTTACAACTTTGTCTGTCGTCATCGAGAGAGTCCTGAGCTAAACATCAGAGACATCAGAGACACTTCAGCTGATGTCTGCAGCCTATGAAGACACGAAGCGTCTCTTCTTCTACAATCAAACACCTCATTAAACAAAGCGTCAACTCACGTGCTGCAGCGCCGTGAAGGCTCATCATCAGGAGAGACAGAACCGAGATCTCCGCCCCGACAAGTCGCATTTTAACGTCCGCTTGTTTCACCGGGAAGGAGAGAAGTAGTGATGAGATGTGCCGACGCTTCGACGCGCGTATCGAGGCTCGCTTCATTTAGGGGAGGAGCCAAAAATAATGACGTCTGAAGCCTCTCAGCCAGGCTGTACCACGTGACTGCTTCGGTAAATGGTTCAGATTTTGCCGTGAGGTTTGACAGCAATATAAACCGTTCAGGCTCCATTCAAAATGTGGGCTGTTGCTGGAGATTTGCGGTCAGTTGAGAGTTTGGATAGTTTGGATAGCGTTTATGTAGTTTGGAGAAGTTAGAGAGAGATAGATAGTTTGGAGAAGTTAGAGAGGGCGAGTGATAGTTTGGAAACTGAGGAGAGTAGGATAGGTGATAAGATGGCCAGCTAGGGAGAGGAGGAACCTTGTGTTGTTTTTGACCCTGTCCCTCCTCCCCGAAGTTTTTCATTTAAAGGATCATTCTTTTGTTATCTGTTATAAGTGTGTCTGTTCCTGCAATCTCGCCTCCACATCCCCCGGTTTGCCACATTTGGTTGAGGATGCCAGCAGTGTTGCCAAAGACTTGATGACTCTGGGGCAGCATCTGATGAGAACCCAACAGAACCAGGTAGAGTGCTCACCAAGCAAACTGGAGAAGATGATATTGAGGCCTACCTAGAAGTATTTGAGAGAACTGCGGGGAGGGAGCGGTGGCCTAGAGCCCAGTGGGGAATCGCAAAAAGCTTGCTGCGACCCCCCCACCCCCCGAGGTGAATAATTCCAAGGCATTAAAAGCAGCCATTCTAGCCCACTATGGTCACAACCCCCCAGACAAGGGCCCAACAGTTTCACGCTTGGTCCTATGATGCTACGGCCCCTGTGCGGCCACAGGTTGCCACTCTCATGCGCCTAACCTGCAGCTGGTTTACTACGGGGGATGGGCCCCCTGCCCTGGACAGAGTTGTCATGGACCGCTGTATCCGTGCGTTACCAGGAGATGCAAAGCTGCGTGCCTCCTAAAGCAGCCCAAAGACTGTGGATGACCTAGTGGAGGTACTGGAAAACCATCAGGGCACAGTGGAATTGATGCGAAGCAGCCAACCGGAGCCTTCACGACTCCACTGACCTGACCCCAGGAGAGAAAGGCCAGGGCTGAGAAAGGAGGCCTTAGAGACTCCTTACCACGGGCCGACACCCCGGGCAGAACCTCCCCGTCCAATCCTGAAATGCTGTCCCCTTGTGAATCAGGAACGCCGGAAGTGCTTCACCTGCGGTCAAGAAGGTCATCTTTCTTGGAACTGCCTGGTAACTGATGTAGTGATGCCAACGGCTGGTTCATCTGGTTCACAACAGAACGCCGCCAGATACCTCACCACCTGCTGGGCCCATGAGGGTACCCAAGCCCCAAAACGCCCTGTCTCTCTCTGTCCGAATCGCAAACCAGGATACAGAAGCTCTACTGGACTCTTGGAGTGCCGTCACCCTCCTACAGCCAGAACTGACTACTGGACCCAGAGAACCCACCATCCCAGTGTCCTGGGTCCATGGGGATTCACGAGATTATCCCACCACCCGCATTTGGGTTCAGACTACAAGAAGAACGTTCAAAGTCATAGCGGGAGTGGTAGACAACTTGCCGGTACCAGTGCTGAGGGAGGTATTTGTGGAATTTCTCTCTGTCATTTCCCTGAAACTCTCCCAGCTGCCAAAGGAGCTGGTGCGTGCCGCCATCCACGTGGCAACATCGACATCTGTCGTTACCAGAGAAAGAGTGGACTACATCAGACTGTACCAGGTGTCATAGTACGACAAAAGGTATGAGTGTGACTGAGTTCTGCTGCATGGATCGATTCTTAAAGGAGCTGTGCGCAGGATTTAGCACACAACTTCTGCCACTGCATGAAAAGTGAGATTTTCGTCCCCGTAAACGCCCGGAAATGTCCCTAATTTCCGACAATTTCCGACAATTTGCAACCCGCGCACGTCGCGTTTGTCTGTGCCACAAATTGTCGGAAACGAACCATGACGTAGGTGGAGAGCTGGCGGAGGTGCGAATGGCCCGAATTAGCATTTGAATGCAGCGAAACCGCGGGTGGCCGAGCCGAGCGGGCTTGAATATAAACAAATAAAATCACTCGTGATTGGCAGCAAAACCACACCTGGGCAGACCAGGCTTGAGTTTCCTTGTACATGATTGGATGAAACCACAACTTTCAATCACTCGATTGGTTGGCAGATCTGTCGCTATTGGTCACCCGCCTCATTTTATTTATATATTCATATTATGCTGTATATTCATTTCATGGTTATCCTATGTAGACTACTACACTATTATTAGGATACCAACCAGGACATCAATGAATTTATAGAGAAAATGAATAAAATGAATGTTTATGCAAAGAAAGAGCTTTATTAACAACACACAAACAACAACTATATACAAAGTGAGGACGTGGGTAACGGCGGTTTAAAAACTACAGCTCAGTAAACTGACCGTTTGCTTCCTCGGGGTTGTAGACCGTCACTGGCGGCGTGTTTTCCGAGGCAGGTCTGTTGTGCAGGCGCCTCGTGTGCGTGTGGCGACCGTACAATCCACCCCGAGACCCCGCCAACAACGCCATCCCCTCCGTCCGACGTGAGCGCTACGGTGGCGGAGTTCCACCTCGTCATCAGCCAGCACACTTTGTCTCGATTCCAGCAGCTGTAAAATCAACAATGAATCAGTACTGTGCGATGCGTACGGACACAACACATCGATCAATGCACCTGAAAAAAATCAGCAAATAAACTCTGACCGTCTTTCTTCTCGCTCGACTCCGCGCTGAATCCTTCGCAGCTTCCGCCCGCAATGAGTGTTCCGGCTGGAAAACCTGAAGCTCCTGCGTACCGTCTCAAAATACGTCACACAGGCGGCTGGAAAACAATTAAATGAGTGTGGTATGAATACAAAAAAAATCATACGCAAGTCACAGTAACATTTAACAAGGAAGGAGAAACAGTAAACAGTGTCACTCACACACAATGACGTCGTCTAAATCTGGACTTTTCCCAGAGCAAATACGAGGTCACCGCCTTAGTGAGATTAGTCTGTGAAAACAAAATGTACAGTTGTGATCGGTATCCATCCTATGGTATCTATACGTATATATTCCCTTATAGCGCAGAATGAAAGCATATTCTGTAAATCTGACCCTTGCTCCGGTTCGTAGCGCCTGTAATTCGTCTCGGAGTTGTGAAGACGGCGCACCGCTTCCTGTAAATGACACGGCAAAGAAAACACACTTTAATAAAGCTGTTTCTGCTCACTTGTAAGGCTACTAGGCTACTCTTAGTAGCGTAGCGTAAAACGAAAGCTTTTAGCTTAGCTAGCAGTCATCCTACGTATTCTTACCGCTATCTGGGATCGTGCGCCCGTCTCCTCTTCTTTGAGTCGGTTCCTCTCCTCCATGGACAGAAACCCGCAGAGTCCCGAACGCTCCAGTGGAGCGAACCGCTCGTTGATATCGGCAGTTTGTTGTTGGAGTTGACGAGACGATCCACTGAGACCATTCAGCAGTTTCTTCTCGTCTGTCTGCGGACTGGCCGAAAGTTGGTGACCGCGGAGAGGAGTTGAAGGCGAGTTGAACGCGAGACGTCGTCCAGCCATTATTCACGAAGCAGCAAAAACCAAACAAAGGAACTGGAGATACAGTTCTTCTGAATATAGTAACACACACGTGTCTGTTTGTATGCTTGTCTTGCAAGTACTGCTGTCTGAGTCATGCCTATGACCTCACACGAGGTTATTGTTATACGGAAGGACCAGTATTTTAGGAAGACAAATGGTTGGGACTTTGAAACAGCTGATATGCTTTATGTAAAGCAGTGTTTTGGTGTCAGCAGAACGACTTTCCCTAGAAATCTGTACAGTGGTGCCTCTTTCTCCATTCCACCAGACACTCTTGGATGAGTCTGACATACATGCAGTGTTGACAATGTATCATCAGATGTACCCTTGTGTCACTGAGGTTGAATGTTTTGCCATGACATGTAAATGGTAACATATATGAATGTAACTTACTCAATTGATAGATGTAGAGCATAAAGGTCAGCATGTGTTCATGCTAAGTGGTGTGGAAACACTAACAGTCTTGAGGAACCCGTCTTTGACCCTCTAGCAGAACTACGACCAGCCATTATAAAGCAGTTTATAGTTGTTAATGTTGTGTCAAAGGGTACTGCATTTAAACATGTTCTTGCACAAGTTTCCTGGCTTCATCTCCACCCGGACAGACATTTTTATGGAAAGCCAATAGAAGTTCGGGGCTTGTAGGGAACAGATACGTCATACCCAGCATCATTTCTGCCAGTTGAGCGCATTGCTAGAAGATGTGTGGTTAATACATCCTCTGTGCATTTAAGTAAGACCAAAGAAAAGGTCACTGTAGTCCTGCCACTATGCACTGTAGACCCCTCATGCTGATTCAAATGTTGTTTGCATGGAATGCTCATTTTACCTTGATTAAAACAAATTTTTTAAAGAAGTTATTTTGTGTATCTTTTTTACATAACATTTGCCATTGCTAATGGCGTACCCAGTAATCTAGCATATTTGAATTAAATAAATCAATTCAAGCTAAAATGTAAGAGTCTATAATTAGGCTACTGAGCCTGATCTATTTGTACCAGAGATTTTCTTACCTTTTAAAAAAATGTCACCTGGGCTAAAACTCCCTCTGCGACCCTGATTTGCATTTGAATAGCTCACCGCATTTTCATTTACATGTCAAAGCCTCCCCTAGAATTAGGAGGAGGGGGGTCATGGGGGGACAACTGCCAAGGGAGGCCCACATCAATTTCTGACAATTTACGGCAGTTTTCGGCGTTGCCCGCAAATTGCCGCAATCCTGAAATTCCACGACAATTTACAGTGCTGCATACTGCCGAAAATCCCACTTTTCATGCAGTGTGCTTCTTGCTTAGTGACTGATGACGAAACATACATAGTGCTCTCCTATTGGTCGATGCGAGATGCGTTGTTTTTAACCAGTTTTCTTTTATTTGTTTCTAATGAAATCAGGTTTTAACTAGGGCTGTCAAAAATAGCGCGTTAACGACGTTAATTA